GCGGCGGCGTCCCCAGCGCGGACGTGCAAGGTTGCGACGCGCCCGGCGCAGGGCCTTTCGGGCTCCAGGATTCTCAGAAACGAACCCGCGGTGCGAAATCATGGTTCAATATTGGGCCGAGAGCTTCTGGTTGCGCAGATCGCTCAAGATTGACAGATCCACGCGATATTAGAAACCAACTTGCAAGGCGTCACGACACGGACCTACCGTACAGCCGACGCCCCACGTCCTCGTATTTCCTCCCACCTCCCACTTCCATTTACTTTTCTCGGCGGGCTCTAGGGCCGTCAGAAAACGATTCTGGCTGGCGGATTCGTCCTGCTGGCGCCCCAGGGGCCGTTCCCCTCTGGACATGACAATTCCATTGTAAAGCGCTCTTCGCGAGTTGGCCGCGCCCTTGATTCGCAGCAGGCTCCCGGCGCACTGTGGCGCTAACAAGCGCAGCGCGGTGCTCGCGAGCTACTAATGCGCCCGCTGGCACGTTTGGCTGTTGTAGTGTGTACACTTGCGTTTTGGTGCACGGAGGCTTTGTGGTATGCTTTGTGGTATGCGCAGGCGCTGTGGTACATATGGGTGCTGTGGTGTACACAGGCGCTGTGGTGTACACAAGCATTTGGTGCACGCAGGCATCGTGGTGTACGCAGGCGCTGTTGCGCATGCGGCTGCTGCAGCGTACACAGCCACTGCGGTGTACACAGGCGACGTGGTGCTGTGGTGCGCGCGGCAGCTGTTGGTGTGTGCGGAGGCGCTGGTGTCCGCAGGCGGCGCTGTGTTGCACGCAGGCACTAGGCATTGCCGTGTACACAGAGGGACTGGCGCGCAGGCGTTGGGCATTGTCGTGTGCACAGGGGCTCTGGTGCACACAAGCGATTGATGTGCTGGTGGCTCGGGCTCACCCTGGCAGGTGCACCCCGCGGCCGCCGCTACCCTTGCCCCCCGGCCCCCCCCCCCGGGTAACACGCGCTGCCCCCCATGAAGAGAATCACGATGCCCTTCTGAGCACGCCCGCCCCCTCTCACTTCCCCCCGGCGCGCCGCCGAGGGGAGGAGGGGACGGAGGAGGACGGGAGGAGGAATGGCGGGGAGGAGGAATAGGAGGATCGAGGTTCGAGGGTCTAGATCCCGGGGGGGGGGGGGGGCGGTCACCCTTGCGGGGTCCCTGCGGGAGGCGCCGCGCCGCCACAGCCGGAACCCGGCCGAACTTCTTGCCCACACGCATCCCGGGAGCGAGGCCTCGGGGCCCGACTTCTCGCGCATCGGACGCCGTCCGATTCCGTCCCACCTCGCCTTAAGTGGGGCCTGTCCCCCTACAGGGGGATTTTGCACGAAAAATAAAACATAGACCAAAAATACACCAAAAAGCTCAAAGATTAGTTCGTCCCCAGACTATTTTTGGATTATTTTTAGATTATTTGTTGGGTGTTTTTTATTTTTCGTCGAAAATCCCCCTGTAGGGGGACAGGCCCGACTTAAACCTCGCCCTCCCCAGACCCCCGGCGTCACGGTTTTTGCCGCCTTCGACCCCCAAAGGTCTCAACCCATTCCCCGGGACCGGTTTCTCATCCCGGGTCGTTTTCTGACGGTCCCGAGGTCCGGCGAGGGCTCCCAGAGGCCGAAAGTGAGGACAAGCCGCCCGTCGTGATTATTTTTTCATGACTCGAGGGGGTCTGGGCTGCTCCCAGGCCTCCAGCGCACTGGAAGAAAATCTCAGGGCATCCAGCAGTTTCGTCATTGCCGTGCTCAGGGTCGCTGCTCGGGGGCCCCAGCGGGCCACCAAGAGAGAAGCGGCTCGGGGCAGACAGACGTTGTCCACGGGAGTGGGTCGAGAGGCTCGCTCCACCCCCCCCCCCGTGCTCAAAGCAGCAGGGCTCCGGAGGTCGGGGCTCCTCGTCCTGCCCGAGCGGCCCGCCTTTGGCCTCCGGGGGCCCTCGCCGGGCCTCGGGACCGTCCAATACTCGGGGGTGGACAGACCTCCTACCCTGACATGTCGATTAGCGAATTGGCCGTTTTCGGTTCGCGCGAGGGCGTCGCGGCCATCATTTTTGCGGGTCCAGGTCCGTCGGTTTCGGTCCCAGGCCGTTTTCACTAAGGGGAGGTTTACTAAAGGGAGGTTTGTCCACCGCCGAAATAACGATTCGGGACGAAGAACTGGCCCTTTGGAAGTGGTCCAGACCACCTCTGTCCAGGCATCCAAACAAAGGGAGCGGCCGGATGTCTGGGCTGCCGCCCTTATATCGAGAACAGAACACTCGTTTGCTGCGCCAGCTCCAGATCCTCCCCTCAGATCGCCTTCCTTCCATCGCAGTCGTTCGACTACGTCGCCTCACTCTCTTTGCCAGCCGGCCCCTGGCTCTGGATGCACACGTCCCAGCTCGGAAAAACAATATGGGCCGCCTTCCAGATGCCGACTCCGTCATCGGATACCTCCCCCCCAAGAAAACCTCCGCCGCATGCCATCGAAGCGGCCCCTCGCTGGCCTCGCTCGCGCAGCGGGCGCCAGCCCCCCTCCTCCGGGCCGAAGGCAAGGCTCTCGCGCCGCCCGCGCACCGCAAGTCGAGCTGCCGCCTCTGCCCGGCGGCCACTGCTCCGCTCGGGGCCGGCCGGCGCTCCGTGCGCCGGCTTCTCGCAGGGGGCAGCCGTGCTTGGCCGGGCCCTTCCCCCGGCCTCGGGGTGGCGTGCAGAGAGGCCCTCCCGGCCGAGGCCAGGAGGGCGCATGCTTGGGCGTTGCGCAATGGGGGGGTCGTAGATGGGGGGGTGGCGAGGGTGGTCCGAAAAGGTACCCAAACGGTACCTGAACGAGCCCCCCGCGGCTCCGGAGGGGCCCGAAAGGGGCACAAAAGGGGAGCGTTTCTGACCCCCCCAATGATGACCCCCCCATGAAGCCACGCCCAACATGCACCACGCCAGGGCCCAGGATGGTGCTTGTCAGTCCTGGTGCTGGCGCGTATAGGCCCTCCTGTGCGTCTGTGGTCTGAGCCCCCATCCCTCCTTCACCCGGCGGCGAGCAGGACTGGTCGTAAAACCTCTTCCCCCTCCTCCCCCAGCTTCCCCCTCCGTGAGGGCGCGCTTGAGGTAGAAGTACTCGTAGTCGTCGTAGTCGCAGTCGCAATCGTAGTCCTAGCTGTCGTCGTCGGTGTTGCGCGGCGGGTGCCGCGAAGAAAGACAATTAGTTCCGCCCTATTGGTGGGACCCCAGTCCTGAAATAAGGTCGCCGAACATATAATTAGTTACCCCCTATTGGGGGGGTCTGAGGACTTGACAAGGTTGTGCCCTCTGCGTCGCTGCAATCGGAGGCCCTCCTTGCCGATGCCACGGGCACCAAAGCAGAGGGCGTTCTCGCCACCAGGCCTTCACCGCAGCACAGCTTGCGGAGGGTATGGCCTCGAAGTGCGTCCCCACCGTTCCGAGCCCACGGGTGACGACCTCCCGTTCCTCACCTCACGGGGCCGCAGACACTCTGCAACGAGCGTTCGCTGCGGGGAAGCCTTGCCAGATGCGTTGGGACCTTTCTTACTGTGATTGCCTATGCGGCTTTGTTTGTGGCTAGTTATCGCCTCTGCGACAAGGATGCAAGCACCTCGCCAGCCCACGTTGAAACAGTTGCAGCGACGACGTACCACAGATCTGGGATCCGTGGGCACGGGTTGGCCGAAGGGGCAAGGATGCAAGGGCAACCGTGATGAGGTTCTAAATGCTGGAGCTGCCTGGGGGGGGGACTGAGGTGGCCCGTCATTGGTTCCAGTCGGCTGGGATGGGGGGAACAGGGACCGTCGTGTGCAGGTCTCGCCCTGTCCTGGCTCCAGCTCGTCTCGGTGCTGTACTCCCTTCTTGCCCCGTCCCCCGGCTTGGCCAAGGCCTGTTGATGCCGATTGCAGCACACACCTCCCAGCCGCATCCATCACGTATGCTTGCTACTGGTCTTGACTGGGAGGGTGACGGTGCAAGATCTCATAACCCGAGTAAGCGATTAAGGACCCCCCCCCCCTCTCCGGTGAAAGGATAACGCACCCGGCACCCGGAAGCGTTATCCTGGCACCAGGAGGGGGTACACCATCTACATTCTACCCGGCACAGCGTATTCTTATTCTCATTACAATTCTAATTGGGATGCCACCCGAGGCGGGGCGCTGGAATTATTTATTTTCCTTCCATTTGCGCGGTGCTAATAATATCGCTCGGCGAAAACCCCCAAAAATAATTATTTAATTACGGCGCGGTGCTAATGATAACGCCGGGGGGTTCCTTAATTGCTTCTCCGGGTTAATACCTTTCCCTCAGGACACCTGTTCTCCACGGCGACCAGATCCGCCCTCCAACCTCTCTCGGGGGTGCGTCTCGACTAGAAATCGAAGGCGAATCCGACCGTGGTGACGACGAGCCTCCCCCAGGCCCACCAAGGGCTAAGATCGGGTCGGACGAAGCGGGGGGGAAGGGAACTGGGAGGGCACGAACTCTACATGGCCCTCGTTTTGGCCCCGCCGCCGAGCCCTTTCCTCGGCATGCAGGTGCTGGGAGAAGCCAGGACACCCAGCTACGCGAGCTGATTCGCTACCCCCCCCTTTTACCCCCCCCCCCCCCCGCTTCGGAGAACAAGGAGAGACCGATTCTGCCACTCGCTGCTCCACGGGCCTCTCTGGGGGCGCGTCCCGACCAGGACCCCGAGGCGAACCCCAGCCGTGGCGACGAGGGCGAGGCGGCGGCATCGCTCTGGCTGCCTCTCCCGAGCCCTGCGCCTGCTCGCTGCTCCGCGGCCCTCTCCCGGGGCGCGTGCGGACCCGGCTCCCTCGGGGGCGAGCGCAGCCCTGGCGGCGCGGGAGAGGCGGCGGCAGCGGCGTCCAGCCCCTGCTCCTGCGCCCCGCGCCCGACCCCCGAGACGGGCCCGAGCTCGCGTACCCCTCGAGGCGTGAGCCTCGAGGGGTACGCGAGCGGGCGCGGCGAGCGGGCGCGCCGAGCGGGCGCGGCGAGCGGGCGCGCCGAAGGTCTTTGCGCAACGAGATCGCCCGCGGCGCCGAGCTCGCGCTGCGCGCCGCGGCGGCCTGGAGCCGACAACGCAGCACCTCTCTCTCGCGGCGCTCCCGCTGCAGGGGCGGGCGGGGAGCACGAGGGGGACGGGGAGGAGGGAGGAGCGGGGGGGGGGGGCGGGGGACGAGGGGGAGCAGGAGGCGGAAGAGGCTCCGAGGAGGAGCGGGGAAGGGGAGGAGGAGCGGGGAAGATGAGGAGGAGGAGGAGGAGGAGGAGGAGGAGGAGGAGCCGGGGGCGGAGGACGAGGAGGAGGAGGAGGAGCGCGGAAGGGGAGGAGGCTCAGAGGAGGCAGCGGTACCGATACCGCTGCTCGTCCTGGATTCTCAAAGAAATTCTTGTCTGAACGCACCGTGGCAGAAGTCGATGGAGTAGCGGTATTGGTACTTGTTGTGTCCCCCCAGAGGCGGAGGAGGCGGAGGAGGAGGAGGAGGAGGAGGAGGAGGAAGCAGAGGATAATGAGGAGCATGAGGAGGAGAAGGAGGAGGAGCAGGAGGAGGAGAAGGTGGAGGAGGAAGAGGAGGAGGAGGAGGAGGAGGAGGAGGAGGAGGAGGAGGAGGAGGAGGAGGAGGAGGAGGAGGAAGAGGGGGGGAGGAGGAGGAGTAGGAGGAAGGGAAGGTGTGCGGGCGGCGGAAGAGGAGGAGGACTTTGGTGGAGGAGGTAAAGGTGGAGGCGGAGGACAAGTGGGGGCGGGGGTGTGTGATGAGGACGAGGATGTGGAAGATAAGTACTCATGCAGGCGCAGGAGGAGGGGGAATCGGAACGTATGGAGGAGGGGTCGGAAATGGTGTGACGAGGCGGAGGAACAGGAGGAGGAGGAGGAGGAGGAGGAGGAGGAGGAGGAAGATGGAGCATGGAGCGTGGATTGACCTGCATCCAAAAGGGAGTCCCAGAAGAAAAGGGGTGCAGCACAAGCAGGCGCAATGCATGTAACAATGACGAACATGCGAGCAGTAATACCACGCACCCGAGCGTGAAGTACGCTTGCAAAAGGGCCATCCGGGTCGGACAACACCCCTGCATACGACCACAAAGTGTGGTCCTTCTCCCGGTCGGCAACAGCAGCATCGCCGACAACGACAGCACCAACTCAGTCAGCATCGTCTTGTTCATCGTCACTCTGAACTCCTTGCGGGGACGGCACGGCGTCATGCACGCTAAGGGGTGGGACCACGCTTAGATTGGGTCCCACTGCAGTGGTATCCCCGAGATGTTTGCACAGCCTGAGGGTAGCGGGATCCACAGTGGGCCCAAGGACACGGCTCACGTCGGATCGAGCCCGCCGAGCAGGCGCCCGAGTTTATCGCTGCCCGTGGCAGAGGCCGTCTTCTGCGGCGGACGCAGGGGGATCATGACGATGCGGGAGCGGAAGAGGGGCACACTGGTGGTGAGTGGGAGGGCGAAAGGGAGGCAGGGTGGGGCGATGTGGAAGAGGAGGAGAGGAAGAGGGAACGGAGCAGGAACCCGAGTAGAAATGTGATGGGGACATCGGGGAAGACCCGGGAGGAGAGGGCGCAGCCTCCTTCGTCGCGGCCCCACGTACGCGGGGCGCCCGTGCGCGGCTGCCCCGCACGCAATCAGGGGGTCGCATGTCCGCCGGATCGCGTCTCGGTGTCCAGACCGTGAGGGCACGGATACGGACGTGATGTTGAGCCCGTTGATCCATCTTTTCGCGATCGCGGCCGTTACTGGGTGGGTGAGGGGGCTGGTCACGTTACGATTCGCGCTGGCGCCATCTGGGAATTCTTGTCGCTTCGCGTGTCCCAACCAGCTCTTGGAGGCTATCTTGAACCATGCTCGGCTGGAGGCTGTCGGAGGCTACCTTGAGCCACGCTCAGCTATGTTGGGCCATATTGAGGCTGTCTTGTTGCCTCTAGGAGGTCTGTCCGAGGTTATCTTGAGCCATGCTCGACCTCCTGGGACCATCCTGGGGATAGGAGGAAGAAGAGGAGGAAGAGGAATAAGAGAGAAGGGGGAGGAGGGGGAAGAAGAGGAGGATGAGGCATGCGACACGAGACGAAGGAGGAGGAGGAGGAGGAGGAGGAGGAGGAGGAGGAGGAGGAGGAGGAGGGAGGAGGCAGGAAAGGACGAGGGAAGGAACGGACGATGACAAGGAGGATGAGAAGCCGGGCTTTGGATATGCATTGTTGTGAGAGGCTCTCGGCGGGACGATTCAGGCCATCTTAGGGGCTCTCTTTGGGTCCCCTCGGGGCCTCTTCGAGCACTCTTTGGGCTCCTTTTTTGGGGGTCTCGGGGCCCACTTGGGGCTTCTTGGAGGGTTCTGGGAGGCCTCGTGGCCTTGATGGCTCGAAAAGAGGGGGGGGGAGGGGGGGGCAATGCAGGTCCCCCCCTCGGAGACTCGAACATGGCGTCTTGAGGCTTTCCGGGGCCGCGTCTGGGTGCTCTTGGGCGCTCTTGGGGCCGCCTTGGGGTGAGCTTGAGCCTCTCTTGGGGCTCTCTTGGGCCATCTGGAGGCCTCAAAAGTCCATCGGAAGCGAAAAATACGAGAAGGCAAAGCACATAGGTTTCCCCGAAGTGTTTGCATGATTTCGACCACTTGGAGGGTGCCTCAGAAGTCTCGAAGGGCACTTGGAACTGTTTTGGGACTGTCTTGGAGCCTCTTTGAACCATCTTCGGCTATCTTGAGATCTTGAGCCATCTTGGAGGCCGTCTTGGGACGACGAGGGCCCTCTTGGAGCTATCCTGGGCCCATCTTTAAACTCTAGCTGCCTGGTACCCCCCTCCCAGGCCGAGAAGGAGGGGGTTGAGGGGGATGGGGGGAGGGGCAAAAGCCTCCCCCGAGCAGGGGAAGGACGGGGAGAGAAGACCAAAACTCGTTAAACCACCTGCGCACAGATGGCTGGTGGGATTAGCAATCCCCAGCCATTCCAGGAGGCGCCGGCGTGAATCGTGAAATCACGGCGGTTGCGTCTCCAGTGGTGCCAGGCGTCCTTCCTCGGGCGAAGAGCGGTAGGACATATCATGTTCCGCGATCGAGGACGCCTGTCCATGCGACGCGCGGCTTCGCATTGTGCGTGCTCGAACGGTGCGGCTAGCCGGTGGGTGGCGCACAGGACCACGCGAGAATCCGCCACTTACGCCACCACCGGCTTCGCCCCCAACGGTGAAAAAGTCGGGATCCCGAACCCCGGCGGGATCTCCGAAGATCGAGCCTCGAAGTTCGCCTCCTGTGATCAAAGGGGCTCGACGCGCGTGCTCCTGCCTGCCTGCCTGCCAGGGCGGAGGGAGGGAGGAGAGAGGGAGGAGGGAGGAGTGAGGAGAAGTGAGGAGGAGGGAGGAGGAGGGAGGAGGAGGGAGGCGGGAGGAGGAGGTTACAACTGTGCACCCCCGCCTGCCCACGTGGGGGTTCTGAGCTGCCAGGCCGCCCTGGGGCAGGCGTCGCCGATGGCGGGAGGCTTGCGATCCGGTTCCGCACTTCGCCCGTGGAAGGGCTCGCGGCGAGCACTTCCGCGACACGCTCCGCCGCCCGTGGGCCCCTGCTGCTCGCCCACTCGCTCGGCCGCGTGGCTGGCGGGACCCCCGATCCGCCCCCGCCCCAGGGGCCCTGAAAGGCACCAATCAGCAAAGTCGGATCGTCGTGATCGTCTTGATCGTCGTGATCGTCGTGATCGTCGTCGTCGTGATCGTCGTCGTCGTCGTCGTCGTCGTCGTCGTCGTCGTCGTCGTCGTCGTCGTCAACGTCGTCGTCGTCGTCGTCAACGTCGCCGTCCCTATCTCGGCGTCGTCCTCCTCCCCCCCCCTCCTCAGTCCCCTCCTGGCCTCCTTGTCCTCCTCCCTCCCCTTTCGGCCTCCCCCTTCTCCTCCTCCTCCTCCTCCTCCTCCTCCTCCTCCTCCTCCTCCTCCTCCTGCTCCTCCTCCTCCTCCGTCTCCTCCTCCTCCTCCTCCTCTTCTTCTTCTCCTCCTCGGCGTCGTCGTCGGCGTCCCTGCCCCCCCTTCGGTGTCCGGGCCGCGAAGGCGCGCGGACGTGGAAGTACCCGGCGCTCGCGAGCCGCTCGCTCGGCTCGGCGGAGGGCCGGCAGACCCGGGGCCGCCGGCATACGACCCGGGCCGGTGCGATGCGCGCCGCGGGCGGGGCCCGCGGGGCCGACTCGATCCCGTGAGGTCCTGGCGGCTCAGTCTGTTTCCGAGCCGGGGTTTTCGCTCCACGGTGCGGGCCCCGGGGCCCTCACATAGTTCGATCTGGCTCGAGGAAGGCGGCAGGAAGGTGGGGTCGGGGGATCCCCGGCCCTGGTTTTTGTGTGGCTGTGTTGCATGTGTTTGGCAACGTCGGATCTCGGGGACTGGATTCGGCCCGATTTCACCGGCATCGACCTGGGCCAGCCCGAGCCCGGCGCGGCGGCCCGGCCTCGATTCGAGTCGGGACGATTCACTGGCGACCCGATCCGTTCCGGACCTGGTCCGATCTGGCGGTTCGATCCGGCTCATACTTGCGAAACCCGCGACCCACGAGAAGAAAGAACAACCACCACCAACCAGGGGGGCTGGTCGCGCCCCAGTAGAGTGCCCAGAATGGAGTGCCACCATCTCGGGGAGGGGGCCTTTGGGAGCGGAGTTCTATGGACCCAGAGATCTGATGTCGTGATTTTTGTCAATGCGGGGTCCCCAGAAGTCTCGACCCATCTCCCAGCACAGGTCCCTCGTCCTGGTCCGGAGTCATTCTGTTGACCGTCCCAGGGGGGGCGAGGGCCCCTATAGAGAGGCCGAAAGTTGTGAAACACCTCCGTCTTGATTGTTTTTTTTTTTTGTAAAACAGAAGAAAAACAACGGTGGATCTCTGGGGAGTTCTGGTGTCGGGCCCAATGGGGCCCCCCGATCGCCGAACGCGATGCGGCATCATCGTCTTGCGCGCTTGTGTTTTGGTCCCCCCGCGGCCCCCCCGAAAGCCGCGCATCAAAGGTCACTCTTACCCAAGGTCACTCTTGCGTGGAGTCGATGAAAGAGACGGGGGCCCATGCAAACGGGGGTCAGCCAGAGCGCCGGAGCGTGCACGATGCTGCAACGCCAGGGCTGCATTGACCCAGGCTCGCGTGCAGGATCCTGCAGGATCCTGCAGGGTCCTGCAGGATCTTGCAGAAGAGGAGGAGGAGGAGGAGGAGGAGGAGGAGGAGGAGGAGGAGGAGGAGGAGGAGGAGGAGGAGGAGGAGATGGAGGAGGAGGAGGTCACTCTTGCGTGCAGTCGATGGTGGTGGCGGCTCTCCCTGCCCACTGTCGCGGGCGCCCCGCCCGCGGGCCCCCAGGAACGCCTGGGTGCGCGCGGCCTGGCAGGGCCGGAGCGCGGACGTCTTCGGCGCGGCGAACCTGCAGGCCGGCGACCGGCGCCGCCTACTCCCAACGACGTCTCGGGGGGGAGCTGGGATCGATCCTGTGCCGCCTCCTCCTCCTTCTCGCTGTCCTCTGCTTCCTCATGTTTCTCCTCCTCCTGCTCCTGCTCCTCCTCCCACTCAACATTTATCATCCCCCCTTCCCCTCCTCCTCGACCTCGTCAGACATCAGGGGGGGATGCATCGACTCCCCAATCGCCCATGGATTGCCGATGTAGTGGCTCTCAAAGGCTCGCCCCTGCCGAGGAGCGTGCGCCTCTGCTGTCGACGGCCTGTCGCCGATCTGTCTGCGATGTAACGCCGATTCCCTCCTCGTCCTCCTCCTCCTCCTCCTCCTCCCCATTCGTCCCTCGCCCTCCTCACTTCTCATCCCTCCTCGTCCAACTTCGTCTTCCTCCCTCCTCCCTCTTTCCCTCCCTCCCTCCCTCCCTCCCTCCTCCTTCCTCCTTCCTTCCTCGATGTTTCACTCCCTGAGCCAGCCCCCACCTAACGTGCGTTCCCCAGTCTCGCGCTCCCGCGACCTACGAAGGCCGTGCCCCTGGATGTCTTCCTGCCTCGGCCATCATAGTGGGCCTGCTGTCCGTCTTCCCGTCCCCGCGAGGGCGAGGAGGACGGAGGAGGGGGGGAGCAGGACGACGAGTGGAGGAGCAGGACGAGGATGATAAGGGCACAGAGCAGGAAGTGGAGCAGAAATAGGAGCAAGACGAGGAGGAGGAGGAGGAGGAGGAGGAGGACATGTCTTGTCCTTCTAGTTAATACGAGCACGTTGATTTTGAAAGTACGCATTGCGCGAACGTTCGTTCACAAGGCTAGTCTCGAAGACTGGGGGCCGTATTCATGTATGTAGTGGGCCGCGTACGTCTTTTGCGAGCTCCTTGGGAAGACGTCGAAGTAGCCCTGAACGAGGCCTTGTTGGGGCCACCACACTAGCTCAGCCTGCCCGCTTCAACCCTCCCGGCAGGCGATCGGGTCTCGACCATTTCCTCAGGGCTCTTGACCCCTTCCCCGTGGCTTGTCTCCCACCCGGGCCACCATGGCCCGACGCAAGCCCCTGGAGGTCCAGCACGCTGAGCATCGGACGGGGCTAGGACGAGGATTAATCCGTCCCGGCGTGTTCTGGAGCTCGAAGAAGAAAAGCATAAACTTTCGACCTGACCGCGGATTTCTTGGAGCTGCGCTGGGCCCCCCCGGCGGCGCCAGGGAGGGGGTCCAGCGCGGATCCAAGAGATTCGCTCGGACCCCCACACGTTGATGCTCATGCCGTTTTTTTGTTGGTTCCTCGAAGAGCGATCCGGAGCGCTCTTAGAGCGCTCCTGGATGCAATGAGAGGGCTACGGCACCCGAGACATCCTCCAGAGCTGCTGGAGCTCAGACATTCTCGATTTAATCCTCACCCGATGTCATCCTCGTCCTGGCGTCGTATGACGTCTCGTTTTTTTGTTCGTGGTGCCGGGGTCCGAGACTCCTGGAGGCCATGGGGGCGCTCTCGCTCCTCCCTGCGGGCCGCCGGAGTCCCCCCTGGAGGCTGGCAGGGACTGTTTCTTTTTGGAGGCCGACAGCGTCAGAGTCAGGAGGGGAAAAAACACACAGGCACAATTAATCGTCGATTCCAAGGAAAATATGGGAAAATATGGGAAGTGGGGGGGAAGACAGAAACCCAGAAAATATGAGAAAATATGGGGAATATTTTTATTTGTGTGTATTTATTTGTGTGTCCTGGGGCCCCTTCACAGAGGAGCAGGGGGTCATGACAATGAGACTCTGGAAGCCCTGAAACGCATCCTGAGCCAATCCTATCGTGACACCATTCTCGTCCTACAATCGAAGAAGACAGAGAAGCGGCCCAGGGGGCCCCGCGCGGATCCAAGAAACCCGCGCGGAGCGGCAAAAGTTTATGCCAATGCTTGTCTTCGTTTTTCTCTACAAGAGGCCCAAAGTGTGGAAGCAAAAGCCTTGGCCCTCGATCTGCGGGCAGTGTGAAGGGGGTCTCACCACCAGGTGGGCCAGCAGGATCGTTTTCGGAGGTTCCGGAGATTTCTTTAAGGCCCACTGCCTCGAGGCAACTCGCTTCTTCGAGGCAGCGGCGACCCCCCTGGTGGTGACCCCCCTTTGCACTGCCCCAGCTCCTTGAGATCCTCGATCTGAGGTGTCCGGACCCCCCATGATTTTTGCATGACGCGACCCCCAGAGGTCCGGACCCATTCCCTGGGACCAGTTTCTCATCCTGAGTTGTTTTCCAGGGTCCCCAGAGGCCGAAACTATCGAAGAACCTCCCGCCTCGATTTTTCCAGGACCGGAGGGGGGTCTGGGGTGCACAGTTTCCCCCGGGGTTGTAGGCGACCCGAGGAGGAGGAGGAGGAGGAGGAGGAGGAGGAGGAGGAGGAAGAGGAGGAGGAGGTGGAGGAGACTATCGAAGAACCTCCCGCCTCGATTTTTCCAGGACCGGAAGGGGGGTCTGGGAGTCCTGCAGGCCATGGGCCTGCTGTCCGTGTTCACCAAGACGCAGTACCGGCCCCTCGTGGCGTTGCTCTGCTGGCGCCTCTGGGCGTCGGCGGTCTCCGGGAGGGCCCGGGAGGACCCCCGCCCGCGCGAGCGGGTAACCTTCAGTCGGCTCTACAGGATGAGTATGTCAAAGTTGTACAGGAATGATCAGGGGACGAATTTGCTCTACTGTCTTTTGCTATGTTTGATGATTTGTTGACTATGCTTTGTTTTGCTCCCGAAAACCGCCTGTAGGAGGACATGCCCAGTCGAAGGGTAACCGCACCTGGCTGTGATCAGGGGCAACGTCAGGGTGGGGGGGGGATGGGCTCAGAGGGGATGCATCGACCCACAGTCGTCATCGCCGATGGGGCCCGATAGATCACCCTGCCCAGGAGCGTGCGGATACGCTATCGCAAGTAGTTATCTCGGGTTGGAAGGATGGGGTTGGGAGAGGGGATCAGAGCATCCGTATCATCGCGTATGCCGAGTGTGCTTGTTCACAGTCATGCCCCGTATCTTCCCAACCCCATCCTCTCAATCCGATGCTTGTCTTTCTGGTATCGGGGGCCTATCGCTGAACGATTGGCGATGCACCGCCGATTCCAGCTCGATGCTTCCACCCGCTGAGCCTGGCCGCCCTGACGTTCCCCTTCACGTGAGCCTCCGTCGTCGTCGTCGTCGTCGTCGATGATGGGGGGGTCGAGGGTCGAGGTTTCTAGACGTTCTCGGCCCAGCCCCCGTGGGGTGCAAAACTTTTCGGGCTCCCGTGGGGAGACTCGGGGATGCGATATGCCGCCCTCGCGGAGGCGCCCTCGTGGGCTCTGCCAGCCTGCGGGTGGCACGGGCAACCCCGTGGAAGCATGCTGCGCGAGAGCTCACGTGAATCCGCTCCCCAGCAGTTGCCCTTAAGTCGAGCTTGTCCCTCTACAGGAGGAATATATTCAAAAATAGTCAGAAATCATGTGGGACGATTTTTTGCCGCGCTGTGTGACAATGTTTGAGTTGTGTTGACTACATATGCTTTTGCTTTTTCGTAAAAAATCCGCCTGTAGGAGGACACGCCCGACCTAACGTCAATTATGTTCCCCAGCCGTTAGCCCTCGATCGTAAGTTCAAAGAGAGCAGGCGTGGCGGCGCCCGTTAACACGGAGGGGCAAGCGGAAGCCGCTCCTCAGCCTCGGCATCGGGAGCTCTTGAGGACTCGAAGGGGGCCGATGTGCCACGTCCCGCAAGTGCGCCTCGCCGAGAGCCGCATGAGTGTGCCTTTTTTTCCTCCCGTGTGCGGTGGCCTCCTGTGGTGCGAGGTTTGGCCGGACAGCCGTCGGCGCGTGTGGGCAGCACGATCCCCGTGGGATGGTTCCTTCGCAAGGTTGCATCGGGACCACATGCGAACCCTACCCCTGCACCCCACGATGTCTGAGGTGGAGGGTGGGGTTCACTTCGCTCGGGAGCTCCCGAACGAAGTGAACCCCACACTCCCCCTCAGAAACCGTGGGTAGGGATAGGGTTCGCATGTGGCCCCCTAGAAGGGGGTATGATCTGGACGTACCCCGTGGACAGATGCAGATGGGCACCGTAGTGGTATCAGCTTCACAGGACACCTAATCCGACAAGGTGGTTGCAAGGGGGGCGGCGGTGTTGAAAATGGTCTGTTGGGGAGCCGTGTGGTTGGAGCAGGAATGGGACGACGATGACGACGGGCAGACGAGCAGGAAGATGGACTGCAGCTTTGATCCAGGCGGATGCGGCGATCCTATTTGTAGCCGGTGCTAGCGATGCTTCGGTGATTGGGCAAGTCTTTAACGGAGAGTTCGGTTCAGAAGTAATGTGGAAGAGTGTCTTTTAATTGCAATGGCGTTTGAAGCGTTTTTGGAAACCGCTTCAAACGCCATTGACCTTGTCAGACTGCTGACAGACCTGTCACAGTGTGCCCCAGTCAGTGCTGCACCTCGGCGTTCTCACCTGGCTTCTCAATTCGTCGGATGGGCTTCGCCTGGTGGGCGCCCGCAGGCGCGCGCCCCGTAGGCCTGGTGTGTGTGTGTGTGTGTGTGCTGGGGTTGTCGGCAGGCGGGTGCCCGAGGGCGTCTCGTGGGCGCCCCGATGCGCTGAGTGGGTGTGCGCTGATGGGCTTCGCCTGGCGGGCGCCCGCGGGCGCTGCGAGAGCGCGCCGCACAGGCGGGTCCGGCGGGGTTTTGCCTGGCGGGCGCCTCGAGGGCGCCTCGGCGGGCGACCTGTGCGCCGGCTGGGATATATGGGGTCTCCTGGCCTGTGCCCAGCCGCGGGCGTACATCGCAGAGTTTGCACCGCAGGCCTCGCACCACCCGTGTCGCAGAGCCGAGGCGCCGTAGCCTGGACCACAGAGCGTGCACGACACGGCGTGCACCACACAGCTTCCACCACACAGCTGGCACCCTAGGGCTTCAGTCTGGCGTGCGTGGGCCTGCGGGCGTGGCGGTGGTGGGGGCCTGAGGGCCTGCGGGCGGGCCCGAGGGCCTGCCTGGGCTGTGGCTCCCGAGGGAGCCCCGTGCCGTCAGCCTGCGAGCGCTTGGGCGTGGGTTGGTGGGAAGACGGAGAGAAATTTTCCGCCGCAGCGCTTGCACCACACCGGTGCTCTCTTGAAAAGGAAGGCTGGACTCTACCACCCCTCCGCGCCCGGGGTCAGCCGGTCACCTTTTCGTAGCTCATTGTGCATACGTTTCTGCCTCCTCGTTCATTTATCGATATGGAGCGCCATTCGCAGTGATTCCGTCTCAACCAGCCCAGGATCGGCACACCCCGACATCCCTCTCAAATGATACAATGTTCGCACGCTTTTTCATCTCACCAGATAATTGTTCAGCAACCCCTTTCGGAAAATGGTACCATAACGTCCACACGCGTGCTCATGCCGAAATCGCACCGCGATCATTACTTCAGCAAGCGTTTCAACGTGCTTAGCACCCTGATTATTTCGTTTGTCAGCCATGTTGCAGGTTCTGCGCGTGCGTACTCGCTGATATCATATGACAACCAACTTATTTAGGCAACATCGTCCCGTAGCCGCATTCTCATCTGACCGCGCGGTGCGTCCGCGTTGATCCAGCATGCGCCCAGTGCACGAGTCCGTATCGGCCATGCGGGCTAAATATGCGCACCACCACGCGCGCGTGTCGAAATCCTTCCCAAACCCGTGCTTTCGATGCATTTCCCGAAAAAGCTTTTCAACACACAGAAGAAACCGAATGGTCTTTCAACAGCATGGCTGCCATATTTCTGGAGGTTATGTACGCGCACTTCCTCATCACCCTCATCAGCGCCATCGCCTCACCGCCAGTATCGTCACTGTCGATCGCCAATATCATCGGCACAAACACCTTCATCGTCGACACATTGACAGCGTCATCGTCATCGTCGTCACCAGCATCGGCGCCGTCATTGGCCTTGCAATCGTCATCGTCATCATCGCCACCACCATCGCTACTATCATCGTCGTTGCCGCTGTTGTCGACTTCGTCATGGTCTCGTGCCGAGGACTCACGCAAGGCCACAGCAGTAGTTTGGAACACAAGCATGAGCAGTTAAAGTCACGAGGAGCATACCCTCACCTCGCCAGCGAAAGAGCACACGTTCACAAAGACAACTAGCGATTGAATTATTGCTCCGGTGAAACATATCAGCCATGAGCAGTTCACGCTGACGTCACTTCCATGCCTACCAACAAAGCGATGCAACAAAGAGTACCAATCTGACAGCTTCGCCCAGCACCAGCAGTAACAAATCAACCAGAGCAGCCACGACACTCCAGACCAAGGCCAAAGAGCACGTAGCTATCGCCCACTAACCACGGCAGTCTGCAACGACAACGCTCACAGTTTGCATGCTTCACGCTGCCAGCTGCCAGATGGCCAGGCGCCAAAAGGACAAGGCCTGCCTCACACTTTCAAGACGCTTACAGACAAGATCCCAGCGTCACAACATTAGCCTTGGATTTAGCCGCACCCGTTGTTGACACTTTACGCTTTCGCCTTCACACGCTGCTTCATCCTTCGCCGTAGCTCTAGGCTACGTCGCCGCCATAGTTTGGTCTTACCCTAGACTGTCGCCGTCGTTTTGGTAATTGTAGCCGCAGATGCAGCTGCATGTTCATTCACAGCATTGAACTGAGTTCCAGTATTCGTTTTCGCTACATGTTCTCTAGCGTCGCTTCGCATTGGCTTTGCCATACCTGTCGCAAACATTGAATCGCATTCTTAACTCTAGCGGTGGGGCATTTCGATGCGCCTTCAAGTGTTCAATCCCGCTGTCGCGTTCGCAGTCGATGCGTTTACAGACAAGATCCCAGCGTTACAATATTAGCCATGGCTTTAGCTCTACCCGTTGCTGATTATCTATGCTGTCGCCTTCACCCGCTGCTTCATCCTTAGCCGCAGTTCTAGGTTCCGTCACCACCATAATTTGGTCTTACCCTAGTCTGACGCCTTCGCTTTGGTAATTGCAGCCGCAGGTGCAGCTGCATTTTCATTCACAGCATTGACCTGAGTTCTATTGCATTGGCTTTGGCATCATACCTGGCGTTCATATTAGCTATATTGCTGCCTTCTCGGTAGCGAAAGGTTGAATCGCATCCTTAGCCTTAGCGGTATGGCATGATGATGCGCCTTCAGCTTTCAGTCCCGCTGTCGCGTTCGCATGGTCCTCTGCCTCGTTACTGGCTCTGGCCGACTCTTGATGTAGCGCCGCTCGCTTCAGGTTCTACGTGCTTCGGCCTCAGCCTTGCAACGCCGTGGCTGGCCTGCTTCTCCTCACTGCCCATCTCCTTCCCTTCCCTTCCTGCCGCTGCTGCTGCTGCTCATGCCCGTACCGGTGCCCCACTTGCAACCAAGACGCTGCAAGACAGACCAGTTCGGGCTCAGGAGGGGCCTTCGTTTTTGGGCCGTCCCCTAAGTTAAGGTCTGGAAACCCCTTTGCGGCCCAGGTTTGCCGTGGCCCAGAAACGTTCACTCGTTCCTTCTTTGGCGTTACCTGTGGTAGCACGGTGACTGTATGGCCCCAGTGGGGATGTGCGCATGCCATCCCGCGCCGACTTCGGCACGCCTCTCACGTGCATAGCCCCCTCCCATAGAGAGCTCCACCCGAGGCCCCCCGATGTGTCGCGCCTCGAGTCCCGCGCCCCGTTATGCACCCCGCTCGCGTGGATCGTTCTTCTATAGGCCGGAGGAGAGCGAGGGGGGAGGCGAGAAGGAGAACGCTTTCTCAGAAGGCGGCGGGGCTTCTCAGAAGCCCTCGCGCCTTCTGAGAAGTCTTGTTGTGTCTTCGGGGAAGGCTTCGAAAACTGCACAGAAAGCTGGGGGACTTCCGAGCCTTGGAGAAGGCCCGCCCCTTCTCACTTCTCCCCCGGGCTCGCCGCCGAATGTCGGAAATTGGGACATGTGCATCACCAGTGGCGGGCTCTTCTTCAATCCCAGAACTTTTTGAGGGTCGGGGACGACGTCGGGGTGGTGTGGTGCATACTTGCTTTATCCGTTTCTCGGGGACAGCGAAACATGTGTACACCAGCGTCCCGTATACACCAGGACCCGCTTTCCTGTGCAAATCTCAGTGCAGGGCTGGAAAATGCGTCGGCGTATAGCTAGAATCCGGTTTCCTTAGACCAGGGAGCTCCACCCGGGCCACACCGAGCCTGTTGTCGTCGTTGTCGTCGTTCGTCGTCGTCGTCGTCGTCGTATTCGTCGTCGTCGTCGTCGTGGTCCTCGTCGTCGTCGTCGTCGTCGTCCCCGTTCGTCGTCGTCGTCGTCCTTGCTCGTCCGCGGTCGTCGCCCTCGTCGCCGCCGACACGGGGGAGCGCCACCCACGGCCACAGCAGCGAGCGCGTCTGGCTGCGGGCCCTCGGCCACAGCCCGGCACACCCGTCGCCCGGCTCGCGCCCCCTCGGAGCAGAGGCCCCCCTCTGCGCGCTTGCGCCGCAGCCCCCGAGCCGCGAAGCCCCGACTGTTCCATCCCTGCCCACGGGGAGCAGTGCAGCCGTGGGTCGCTCGGCTTTCTCCTCCGTCTCCTCCTCCTGCTCCTCCTCCTCCTCCTCCTCTTCCTCCTCCTCCTCCTTCTCCTACTCCCCCGCCAGGGAACGCTGTGCCTCATCCTCCTCCCCCACCTCCTCCTCTTTCTCCTCCTCCCCCCCTTCCTCCTCCTCCTCCTCCTCATCCTCCCGACTTACTTCTACTTATAAAAAACTTCTCCCTGTCGCACCCCGAGGCCAGTTTTAGGGCGGGCCGGGCGTTTCGCCTAGGACTTTTTCACCATAATGACCCCGAAGCTGAATCATTGGCAACAGTTTCACAAATGGAGGGCGGGTCGTTTTCAAAATGTGGCTCTTGCCTTAGCACCGCGCGCATTCGTTCAAGCAAATTTGCAAGAGTGTCGCGGATTTGGGGCGGGTGGTTATGAAATGTGGCTCTCGCCTTAGCGCCGCGCACCTTCGTTTTTTTCAAAACTTACAAGAGTTTCACACGTTGAGGGCGGGTCGTTTTCGACATGTGGCTCTCGCCTTAGCGCCGCGAACATTCGTTTTTACAAGTTGCACGACTATTCACGGATTGAGGGCGGGTCGTTTAGAAAATGTGGTTCTCGCCTCAGCGCCGCACACATTCGTTTTAAGCATTTGCAGGAGTTTCACACATTGAGGGCGGGTCGTTTTTTTCCCAAATGCTTCTCTCGCCTTAGCGCCGCGCACATTCGTTTTAAGCATTTGCAAGAGTTTCACGGATTGAGGGCGGTTCATTTTCCAAATGTGGTTCTCGCCTTAGTGCCGCGCACATTCGTTTTACACGTGTGCAAGAGTTTCACGGATGCCCATGATCAGCGTACCAGAAATATTGTTTTGGAGAGATTCAGGATTGTGAGGGCGCAACAGTTATGTGGATCGCAGTTTTGAAGTCTTGGGAAGGGCGTTCTGGTGCAGTTCAGGATCGTCAAGACGCAACAGTCAGGTTGATCCGTGGCGTTGGAATCCCAAGAGCAATGTTTTGGCATACTTCCGTGTATTCAACCGGTTGTCTGCCAACGAGGCAGTTCCCTCAGTGGAAAGCAGCCCTTGTAGGGGCCTATGAAGAGAGAGTTTGGAAGGAGGGTTGAGTCCAACATCGTTGATGTTTTTCTGGGGTTTACACTGGTCTTCCTCCTCCTCTTCCTCCGCCTCCTGCTCTTCCTCCCCCTGCCCCTCTTCCTTCTCGTTTCCCTCCTCCTCCTCCTGCTTCGAAGTCCCACCGTGAGGGAACCTTCCTGGGGCCCACTCAACGGATCTGCTCGACTCTAGTTCGACCCCAGTTCGATTCAGGTTCGATCAGGTTCGACTCAGGTTCGACTCAGGGTCGACTCAGGGTCGACTCGAATCGACGGACGTTCGACGCAGCTTCGACGCGCGAATGGAGCGATTGTTTGAGCCTCCCAGGTGAGGTCCGAGTAGATGGGGTCGGAGGATCAGGATCGCGCCGCATCCCCAATGCATCGGCGATGCATCTTGATGTGAGCCCGTTTTTCTCCATGCCGACGGCGCCGATCATCGCCGACGTCGCCGATGCATCGCCGACGCATCGCCGACCCCATCGACCCATCTAGGAAGCCTCTAATGAAGAAAGGGCCACGCTTTGCGCTAACCGCAGCTGCATAGGATTGGGCCGCCTACCAGGCTAGCTTTGGTGTTCAGGTTCGCGTCCGGCTATAACTGTAGCGTGCGCCTTCGGTTTCCATTATCTCATTGGGGCGTCTTAGGGGGCGTCTTAGGGGCCTCGTAGGGGCTTGTTGGAGGCCTCTCGGGGGCCTCCGTGGACTTCTCGGAGGACCTGGGGGGGGATCTTGCGCCCGTCTGGGAGGGCAGCCTTCGGCGTTCTGGCAGTGCCACACTCTTGGCCCCACTTACTTGGGGACTTACGTTCATACCAATCCAATGTGTTGCTCGTCATACAGTCAAGATGCTCAAACAAGGACCGCCCTGGGCTCAGGAGGAGCTCTGATTTTCGGGCCGTTCCTTATAGCCAGGTTCGGGAGGCTTCTTTCTGGCCGAGGCTCGCGACTCTTGTTAGCACGATGCCTGCAGCCCTGGGGCGCGCCGGTCGCGCTCTCGAGCATCGACACTATCTGCTGTCGGCCGCGTCTTCGCGCGCCAGGGCCGCGACCATTTGCCTCTTTTGCAGCTATAGGCCGCGCGCGCGGAGCCGCCCCGCAGGAGGGCCTGCGGGTGGTGCGGAGCAGGCTGGCGGTGCTGGCGGACAGGTGGGATTCGGTAGCCAATCTCGGGAGCCCCGTATACCGTCTGCATTCCGTCTGGTTATCGAAGGTGCCCTTGCGTCCTGTCTGGCATGACATGTGCAACCCGCACGCAATTTGTGCTCTGGGGCCACGTTGCCGTCGGAAGAGTCTTCGGTCCTCTTGGGTTTCCTGCCCAATCGGGTCCGACCGTATGGGAGGCTCCCATCTTAATGGGCCATTTTTCCACAACCACGACCATAGGTAGGACGGGGCAGAAGGGAGGATGGGGAGGTTCTCCTCCTCCTCTTCTTCTTTCTCTATCTCTTTCTTTTTCTCCATCTCCTCCTCCATCTCCTCCTCCTCCTCCTCCTCCTCCTCCTTCTCCTCCTTCTCCTCCTCCTCCTCCTCCTCCTCCTCCTCCTCCTCCTCCTCCTCCTCCTCCTCCTCTCTCTCCTACATATGGTGTAATAGTGGTGGGAAATCGGCCCATCACACGTACTGCCACCGAAGGTGGGACCGGGCCCTGCGCACGGGGCTCGACGAGGCCCGCGCCTCGGGTTGGAGCGCCGCGGCGCTCCGGATAATTAGCATGGCGGGGGCATGGCGGCGAGGTGCAGCTCGACTCGCCAGAGGGGGGCGAGTTGACACAACGGCAGTTGCTGGGATCGGCACACAGTTGAGGCCCATGCCAAGAAACACCTTGCTTGCTTCCAGGGTGCCTGGGGTTTCTTGGGTTTCGGTGGTTTTTCTTTGGAGAGCGTGACGTTCCCACACCAAAAAAAATCGATGGACGTCCTTGAGTCTCAGGGTTGGGCTTCTTGTGGAAGGTTTCTCTTGGACTGGCCTCCACCGTATTCTTCACAGGCTGGTGCAGCTCACCCAGTGATTGCCCAGGAGGCTCCTTGTTGCAAGCCTCGTTCGGCCGGTTGCTTAGTTTATATCATGGTATAACAGGCCGTCTGCAATGCAGCGGGCGACGAACCCCAGGGGTCGCCCCTCTGATGGCTCGACCGAGCGACGACCAGGAGGAGGACGACACAACGGTAGTTGTTGGAATCGGCATATTCTTCTCGGGCTGGTGCAGCTCACCCAGTGATTGCCCAGGGGGCTCCCTGTTGCAAGCCGCTTTCGGCCGTTTGCCTATGTTCGGCGGCGAGCGGGGGGGGGAATGAGAAGGGGCGGGCCTTCTCAGAAGGCTCGGCAGTGTCTCCAAGTCTTTTGAGAAGGTTTCTAAGCCCTCCCCGAAGACAGAACAAATCTTCTCAGCAGGTGCGATGGCTTCTGCGAAGTCACGCCGCCTTCTGAGAAGGCCTTCTCCTTCTCATTTCCCCCCCTCGCTCGCCGCCAATCTTTGTTTTCATTGCAGCAAGCCGTCTGCAATGCAGCGGGTGGCGAACCCCAGTGGTCGCCGCGCGGATCGCTCGACCGAGCGACGA